ATTTTTTCTTGTTTTTGGACTTGTTATTTGTATATTTTGGAACATAATTTATGACAATCGTGGCAGCCGAGCTGGCTGTGAGACCCAATAACATGATAAGGTAGGTATATGGAAAACATAATGCGAACAAATTTTGAAATTAAGTCTAATTTCACAATTCATGGTTAACTCTTAAGGTTCGAGATTCAACTTTTTTGTTATCTCTTTTCAAGAATTGGAAGACAAGAGAAATAAGAAATAAGAGTTAATCGTGAGTTGTGAAACTGAGAGCCTTACTGGATATTTTATAACCCTATATGCCTATTTTAAGTACTTCTTGAATTCAGATATATCTGTTGATATAGAGGAAACATTATATGAATGTTTTAAGAAGTTCTCAAAAATTCGAAACATATATGAAACTTCTTGAAGTATTCTTATTGTGTTCTTGTGTGGATTTCTAAGAAATTACAATTCAGGAAAGGAGAAAACTTAAAGAATACTTTGTGAATTTACTCTGGCGGAAAAACTTTTACGAAAAATTATATAGATTAAAATAAGATCTTAGAAATTATTAGTTTTTCATATATATTTGTAGAGTATATATTTGTATTTTTCATATATATTCAATATATATTTGTAGAGAGACGTAGAGCATTGTTTCTTTGAAAAACCTAGAAATCCTCTGCCCTCAAACAATACTATTCTACATCCCATTACGAATATCTATGAAAAACTAAAAATTTCTAAGATCTTGTTTCAATCTATGTATTGGGAGTACAAATTAGTTCGGTCCGTTTAAAAATGCTTTTATTTCAAAACAAATCAATTAAAATATTGTCCATCACTGTTTACTACTTTTTCCCATCTCTCAGATAATTTTTGAATTCCATCTCGAAAAAATTACTCGTCTTTGGAGGCGATTGGCTCCAATTTTGGAGCCAATTAACAGCTGATTTTGGCGGTTTCAAAGAGGTTAAACATCTGCTAATAATATTCAGTTTATATCGCTTTGAATTTCATACAAAACCTTAATTTTTACTGTGTTTGAAATATCGAATTTTGTGTTAACCAAGCAGCATTTGCAGAAAGTTTTGATTTTCTGCTTTAATTGGAAGAAAAGTGCGGCTGAAGCCCATCGAATGCTTGTCGAAGTTTATGTGACACTGCTCCAACTGATAAATCATGTAGGAAATGGTTTCGACGTTTCAAGGATGGAAATTTCAGCATTGAAGACAAGCCTCGCGCTGGACAGCTAAAAAAATTCGAAGACAAAGAATTAGAGGCATTACTCGAAGAAGATCAGAGTCAAACGCAAGAGGAGGTTGCAGAATCATTGGAGGTATCTCAACAAGCTGTTTCTGTACGATTGAGAGCCATGGAAATAATTCAAAAACAAGGAAATTGGGTGCCTTATGAACTGAAACCGAGAGACGTTGAAAGGCGATTTTTCACTTGCGAACAGCTAATTCAAAGACAATAGAAAAAAGGTTTTTTGCATCGTGATCGTGACTGGAGATGAGAAGTGGATATTCTATGACAAGAAGAAAAAATACTATGCTAAACCTGGTCAATCGTTGCCATCGACCTCAACATCAACACCACGATCGAACATTCATGACTCGAAAATCATGCTCTGGGACTAAAAGGGTCTTGTTTACTATGAGCTGCTGAAGCTTGGCGATTCCATTACGGCGATCGGTATCGACTACAATTGATTCGTTTGAGCCGTGCATTGCGAGAAAAACGGCCGGAATACGAACAAAGCCATGATAAAGTTATTCTTCTTCATGACAACGCTCGGCCTCATGTCGCTAAAGTCGTAAAAAAAATATATATTTGGAAATGCACAAATGGTGTTTTACCGCACCCACCATATTCTCCGGACATTGTTCCTTCTGATTATTGGTTATTCTGAAGGATGCAAGTCACCGGTTCACTTCTTTCGCAGAAATCGAAAATTGATTCCAAAATCGGATCGCCTCCAAAGACGAGTTATTTTTTCGAGATGGAATTCGAAAATTGCCTGAGAGGGAAAAAGTAGTAGGCAGCGATGGACAATACTTTAATTAATCTGTTCATTCATTTTGTTTTGAAATAAATGCATTTTTGAACAGAAAAAAACGGATCGAATTAATTTGTACTCCCAATAATAAATCATAAAATTAGTATATTATCAAATTTTTAATTATTTTAATATTAACGAAGAGCGAACTCGCGTAATGTCGATCTTTAATAATATTTCATGGTAGATCCGCCATTTTGAATTCTATAAATCTGAATAAGGATTAACGATCCAAAGCATCCCTGGTTACCAATTTTCATAAAAATCCAGAAAATTTTTGAAAATTTCCGCCATATTGGATTCGCCATTTTTAATTTTGAAAATTTGACTGCAGATTCTTTATTTTTGAGAATCGGAGAACAATTAAATAACATATAAATATTCATAAAAATCGAATGAACTTTGACTCATTTGAGTGATGATTCATTCTCAATCAGTACTTCGTGAATTGCAGTCGTCATGTTAGACTCACCATATTGAATTTCTCAAAAAGCCAGAGTGTTAAAGAAAATATACATGTGCACCTATAATTTAAACCCAGAAAAATTTTTTAGTTGAATTGAATTTTGGATAGAGAAGGTGTTCAATTTGACAGAGAATGTCCCATATGTATATAATACAGAATTGAGACACATATATATGAAACGAATATATTATGCTGATATTTTTCTAATATGTCATCGATATTATATTGAATTGAATTGTTTTTCATTTTTACGGCAGATACTCCTTTCGATAATTGTCTTTACGAAATTTTTGTGTTAGCTGCATATATTATGGTAAATGTTCCGCCATAATATATGCAGCTAACACGATTATAAGAAAATTTCTAACAAAATAATTCTTTGTAAATTATATATTAATTAGATGAATTTAAAAAACAAAACAAAATTCATTCTGTGTAATGTCCATGAATCTTCACGATCTTCGAAAAAATTAAAAATTTTTTTATTGTTTTTTTTCTAGCATCTTTCGCTACACATGAAGCGAGCACATGGGTTTGTATGTATGTTACAGCGCCTCGCCACGATAAATGGCTGAACTTATAGGCATGGAAAAGTGATGTTTTGACAAAATTTGTGCTGCATGCTATTTCCATTATTATTTGCTTAATTGTGAAAATGTAACGTGTCTTGTACTTATGAAAATCCTAAAAATAGACAGGAACTATAAGTTTTGGAATTTGATACGTAAAAGCGTATATTTCATTCATTTCAACAGCTGTTCAAATCGTGTGGTTCTACCCAAAAATTAACCTCACTTTATCTGCATTTTATAACCATTTATTATTAAGAAAAAGACAGTTTCTGCCCATTTTTAAGTATTTTAATACAATCTCGTCATTTAGATTTATCCAAATTTTATAAATGGCTTGCAGCATAAATTTATGTGTCATTCTTCGCTTCTGATGTCACGATTCCAACATGTTCGCCGCGACTACTCAGGAACTTTAATTATAATATAAAAAGATGTAGATTTTTCTAAAAATTGTAAAGTATTTTCTAAAGCAATTCTTATTTCGAAAATGTGAAATTTAATTCATTCTCGCAGAATGAATTCCTATCCAATGAATCGGTTCCTTCTTAGCTACTTCTTTTTTCCAAAAATGCAATATGTTCATATAATCGAAAAGAATCCATATTTTAAAGTTACGCTTATTTTGCAGTCCTAATAGAATAGTAAGCGTTACTAATACTTTTTTTACAAACAAAAGGTCAATTTAACATTGAAGTACATGAGATGGCATTTGTTTGACGACATTGAATTGGTCGATTTGGAATAATTGTGTTTAGCAGTGGGACAAAAAAGGAAAGGGCGCCGCCCTTAAAACAATATACACACATATACATACACATGTATATACATGTATATATACACACATAATCGCATATTATCTTCATGAATCATTGCTTTGTTATTTTTCTCTCTTCAGAAAATGATCAGCGAGGTATGAAGAATAAAGAGCGTTAGACTACAAACTACTTGTATATATGTATACCAGAATACAATGTATAAAAAGTAATATTTACCGCAATATTAAAAGTAATATTTACCGCATACCTACTTGTATGATTGTTATGTACACACTCGTACGCATTTACGTAAAGAGATTACGCAAAACACCCTCCCTATTCTCTTGACTCAATATTGCTCGATTTTCGAAAAATTTGCCATTTCGATTATAAATTACGATAGGATGCACTTAGAATGCAAAAGAGAGTATTGTATATAATTTGATAACGAGTATGTGAACGACTAAAACATTTAATTAAAAAAAGATTTGTTGTCCAAGGAAGATAATGTCTTATGTATGGCAAGTAGACGTTGAGAAAAGCTCTCACGCGATATTTCTCGTACTATACGATTAACGGTTTACAAAATAATAGGTGTATTCTTCTCGGATTAGAGGTACTGAAGGTATGTAAGGCTGAAGTTTGATAATTGTGTGTGTGTGTGTGTGTGTGTGTGTGTGTGTGTGTGTGTGTGTGTGTGTGTGTGTGAGAGAGAGAGAGAGAGAGAGAGAGAGAGAGAGAGAGACCGGCAAAGCCACGAAGTCTGCTTTGTCTTGTTATAATCAAATACTTATGTAGCATAGGTTGTCATTAACGTATGAACAAATCTATATCATTAAAATCACTTCAATCAAATTGACAAGTATCAATCAAAATATGAAACCTTATAACATATTATCTTTATTTATATTCAGTAGGGAAAGTAGAAAGTAGAATTATGGCCAAGAGAAATGTAATTTTCAAGTTCTACTTTATAAGAATAATAGAAGATATAATTTTCGTACATCTTTGTAATTAAATATTTTGAGATTTTAAATGACTTGATTAATTGAACAGCAAGAAAAATTATCAGAAAAGTTTTTGATTTGTTACACTCTATAAATTCTTCTATTTAAATCTTACTCTTCTAATATTTTAATGGATCTTCTCGGCTGCGCCATCAATCATTGATGCGCCGTGATTGTTTTTCTATCGCTTATTTTCAACTGATTTATATTCCTTTTTTTCTCGTGAAGTGTGTCCTCTTGTATTTCATCAGAATCAATCTCCACGATCGATTGCCAAGGAATTGGATTTATGTATGCTGGCTTTGCTTTCTGATGAGCTATAAGATAACGCATTAGTTCATTTTAATATAGTTTTCGATCGTAGCGAGTTTAGTCAATATAGATCTCTTTTACATCATTAAGGCCGATTGCACCAACATTACTTTGACTTTAAATGATCTTAAAAGTCTTTATCCTTCCCTTTCTTTCGGCTTTAAAGAGAGAAAGTGAGAGTTTTTTAAACCTTGCTTAAAGTTAAAATAACGTTGATATAATCGGGCCTAAATTGATTAATACTGATGGGGTAATTACTAGCTGAAATATTTGATCTATTTTCTGTTCCTGCACTAGACTGCTCTAGAATTCTCTTTTTCGCTTTCGACAAATATTAAATCATATTCTATCTCATTGTAAGTTCTAAAAGTGTAATTCAGCCACAGAAAACAGATCTATTGTCTTACAGATTTCATTTGTTTCATACAACTTTATCTAATAAACAAATAATTTCTTTTTAGTACATCTGAAGTCATTGATCAAATAAATGATTTTATCTAATATTACACAATTATTTCTCGTAGTAATTAGCATAATTAATTAGCATATGTAATTATTGAATTATATATCAGAATTTCATATGAGTTTTACAATGATTTTCGGAAACTCTGTTCCACGATTACATTAAGTGATTACCCACTCATTTAGTACGTGTATCAAATTGGCACCGACTAATATTTAAATATATATTCTTATGTGTTTAAACCAATGTCACTTAATCTGTCTCAAAACAGATTAAGTGACATGATATCTTCACTTATACTTTTCAAGATATAAAATCTCTAATTCTAACTTTAACCTGAATTCAATAGTGGCGAGTTTAATATACGATTCAAAACGAACCAAGCGTTTAAAGAGAACTAAGATTTGTTTGTATCATTTAATACGTGTACTAACTTGGTCTAATATTCGCGATTCGGAAATATCAGATTTGCGCACTTATCATGGAACAAAATCGGAATGGATTCCAATCGGAATTCTTACATGTTCCATGATAGATACCTGGAGCAATGATGCTATTTCCAGCGTTTACATCATTTTGCGTCATGTGGAAGAGATGTGGATGAGAGTGATAAGCGGCGGTCGACACGCTGTCGTGACACACACAAAGGCAAGAATCCATATTCCTGTGATCGTACTTTGGCCAATCGAGCGATAGAAAAGAGCGATATCTCCGTTCTTCTCGCTTATTTCAAGCATTCGAAAATGCATATGATTACAATTTATTAAAAAAATTACATGTTATCTGGATTATTCCTTATCGGTACACATCGAGCGACCAAGATTGCTGAGAAAGCATTTTTGGTTTCTTGAAATAAGCGCCCAGTGAGAAAGATAAAGATATTGCTGTCTTCTATCAAAGCACAACCGCATACGGATGGACTCATGCCTCTGTATTAAAACTCTATATTATTAAAGTAGCGCATTTCTTTTATCTTGCCACTGCCTTCTTATTGGCTATTTCATCGCCATCTTGGATCTAGTTGTCTATTGTTTAAAAGTTAAAACTTAGTATTATTGGTAAGTATTAAGCCTTAACCACAATGCGAAGGAATAGCGATAGCAATAGGAATAACACGATTTCCTATTAGAAATCCTATTAGAAATCAGATACACTGGAAAATACACTTTCTAATTTTAAGGTTTTATTGACATATATTGGTACATGGTAAGGTTAGTAGATCTAATATGGCGGACTAATGCTATTATGGCGAACTACTTTAGTAAAGAGTTTTACTTTGTATGTGTATCACGACGGCGGCTCCGTGGTAGAAAGATAACATGATGTGTGCAGTTAGACAGTGTCTCTTTCTAAATCTCCCTGCCCTCTCTATCTATGGACTGTTCTTAAGGTTCAAGGGCTATCAATTGTGAAACGTAAAATATGGGATATTCATAATTCGTTCTTATGCGTTATGCAAGAATCGACTATAAATATCGATCTAACATAAACGAGCTAGAAATGGCATCACTTATCCGAAGCAAGATTACTGAAGTAATCCCCTAGCGTTTATATCAAGTGTACTAATTAAATGATTTAATATGGATATGATACTAAGGGCTCCGTATAATAAAAGGAACAGGGAACAGAGAACAGAGAATAAGAATTTCAACCTATCAGAAATCATGTATTGTAGAATACACAGTTTCTGAGGTTGAAATTCTTATTCTCTGTTCTCTGTTGCCTGTTCCTTTTATTATGCGGAGCCTTTTACCGAGCATTTAATAGTACACGTACCAAGTACTGCATATAATCTAGGCTAATACTCTAACGAAAAAGAATTTTTGCTTGCAAAAGATCTGATAATAATGATTTTGGATATATTTTTAGATTTTAGGATAAAATCGGTGTCGGAAAACGATTGCGAAATAGAGAATGCATCATAAAAACAACCAATCAACGTTATTCTGCATTATTTCGAATAGTGCTGATTGATTGCTTCTGTGATGCATTCTCTATTCTGCAGTCATTTTTCGCACCGTGTGATCATCTTTAATATCCGGTGTCCTAATGAAAATCCCAACCCAGCTAATAAGATTACATCAAAATGACGTCATTTTTTCGATCTCTAAAAGTCAATTATTTGTCATCGACGTCATTTAGACGTCGCTATAACGTGATTATGTCAAAGTCTATTGACTACATTATTACATCATAATGACGTCGACAATTGATGTAAAAGTAATATTTACCTTGCAATAAGCTGACATTATTTATTGTTATTTATTGTTATTTTAACATTAAAATGACCTAAAAATGGACAAATATGAGTTTGTTTACTTGGGCCTGTATTCAGAATGCGCTTACAACGATGTTAGTACGCTAACATATTATAATTTACGTTACGCATATTATAAAATTTCAGAAATAAAAGCACGCTTTTGTCCGAGCGACGGAACCAAAAGGACACCGCGGCTAAAATAATAATAAATATCATTTGGAAGCGTAAGACCGACACCAAGACCTTTTTAATGGTCAAGTCTCGAACGATTTTCATGAGTCCGCGATCGTAAAATTATTAAAAATGTAAAATTGACACGCGATGTTCAAGGGAGGTATTTAGTGGTTTCGTGTCGACGCTGCACGTACGCTTTCTTAACGTATCCTCTGCATGTGCATTTTCTCTAAATTTTAAGATCATAAAATTAATGATGATACTTTCCCACACTATAGATTCCGATCAACCTTTTCCTTCCCCAAAAGGTATTCTGAATTTTGACCAATCCGAAAACGAGAAAAGAGTTCTATCACTAATTGTCAAAATTTATTCCACCAATCTGAATTTGACTAATCAACTTTCTCGAAGGAGGGAAACTCCCTCTCTTAAAAATATTCCTATACAAACGGCGATCTCTTGGGATTCTTCGCATTCATTCCTTGGACATTCCTGAGCACTTCTCGAACATTATTCTTTGATTGTCTTCTCGAGTCTCGGAATTTTTCGTTCCAGACTCATTCCGATCCAGTTTTTGTAACTTTCGAGTCAGTGTTCACGTACGAAGTCCAGTTCCAATATTTCCGAGTCACATCATTTTTCGAGTCAGACATGAACTTCATTATCGACAACTACATCCAGAGTGCCACTCATCATTTCCAGTAAGCCACATATTCTCTCTCTCTCTCTCTCTCTCTCTCTCTCTCTCTCTCTCTCTCTCTCT